ATTGAAAATTGATTTTTTTATAGTTACTGAGGTACAAATTAGCTGCACTAATTGAGGGATTTCTGTATTTATTCTCAGGCTACTGTTTTCATTTTTTGTTGTTGTTATCACAACATTTTGACCATTGTCTCTACCAGCCTTCATCAGGCGTATATCAATCTGGGTAACCTACAGGGAATTCAGTTCAGTATTCATGTAGATTATCCAGATTGATATACACCTGGGGAAGGTGGACACAATGACCAAAATGTTGTGATAACAACAACAAAGATGAGGAAATAGTTTGAATATAAATAGTGAAAATAATGTATACGTTTTATCTTGGTAAATACAGATGGGCTACAATAAATCTCCCATTCAGACTACTTGTCAGTTGACTAACCTCCAATTATGCCTTTTAGAGGTTGATACAGTGTACATGTCAGTTCATGAAGGGTAATGCTGGGGGAGTATCATGGCTAGGTGTTGAGAGGTTCTTGTTTTCTTTTTAAGTTTGAAGAACAAGGCAACCAAAGCAACTTGGGAGTCACATCTAGATACTTGGGAACACACTCAATTGGAGAATGTCTGAGTGGACTGGGTTAATTGATCTGATGGTATTTCTCACTGGGCCCCCACCTGCAAGGATATGTGTATCTTTTATCAAAACCTGCCATTATATTGTGCACATTTGGCTGTGATGTATGTGCTTTGTATACCTTTAGATTGAGTGGTATGACGTGAATGTTAGGCCCTGTACTACATCAGCAACACTTTGTTAACAATATAACACTCAATAATTGTTGTTATAAGAAGTAAAAAAAAAAAAAAGAAATAATAATTATCATTATTATAATTATTATTTAAAAAAAAAAAAGAAAAAAAAAAGAAGTTTTTTTGACCTGTATTTGTTTTATAATCAAATGCTTTGTCATAACCAATGACCCAGGGCAAGTGAAGGATGCAATTTTTTGTTGCTTCCATTTAGTTAAACAAAAGGCAGCTATTAACTAAAAACCTTAAATGGACAAACTCTTTGCAGGATATGAGTTGTGCTTTTTAGAACTATTTTTTGGATTTCTTCAACAGATGGTGCACCAAGGATTTTGTTGATTTGTTCTTAAGTTCCTTTTTTTATCAGACCCAAAGTTCCAACTACAACAGAAATAGTTTTTTATTATTATTATTAGTAGTAAAAAAAATTATAAAAAATGTCTTTGTGACCTGCATTTTTTTATAATCAAATGCAACTGCAAATGCAACCTTTGACCCAGGGCAAGTGAGGGATGCAATTTTTTGTTATTTCAGCTTAAATAAAAGACAGCTTTAAAAAATAAAACTTAAATAGACAAAGATCTTCACAGGATATGGACTGTGCTTGTTAAAACTATTTTTTCTAAAATTTCCTGGAGAGATAGTGTGCCAGGGATTTTCTTGATTTGTTATTAAGTTCCTTTCTTTATCAGACCCAAAGTTCCAACTACAATAGGAATAGTTTTATTATTATAATGATGATAATAAAACCTTTTTCCAAATGGTGGAGGGCATTAGAATGAAATGAAATTTTATAGTTACTGAAGACAAATCCCACTGATTGATTCATGTAAGGATAACTATTAACAGGTTCATACAGAGAATGAAAAAAGACAAAACAAATGAAACACTCATTCTACAATTAAACAAAAAAAAATCCACATCTGCCAAAGGTCATTTTTCTTTTCTTTTTTACAGTGATATTCATTTTGTACAAAGCTTAAGAGCCACTCGAGGTAGAGGGTTACAGAGTAAAAGGTACAGTTCATGGGGATGTGTGGGGGGGGGAAGTTGACCTTAGACTTGAACATGTTAAGATTGTAGTCATTGGGGAAGTATAAAACATTCTTCTTACTATATAATTTTTATTTAATGTTGTTATGTTTCCAGACTTCTCTTTTCATCAACCACACATTTATATTGATTTTATTTTTCAGCTCAAATGCAATACAAACTATAATACAGACTCATAACAGAAAATAGTTAAAAAAATCTTCGAGAGAGAAAATAATTCAGTAATTCAAAATTCTTTGAGAAGAAAAAGAAGAAAAAGATGAGAGGTATGTACAACAAACAGTTGTTATAATTCTATTAACTTACTTTTATATCTTCAAGTTTATCATACTTATTATAAAACCCAGGTTGTGTGTGTGTGTGTCTGTACATTTATATATTGGATCAGATTTCCTACATTTTTCAACCGATTTCAACAAAACTTCACAGGACTACGTAAAATTACCTTACAGTGGTTCTGACAGTGCCAAAAATTGGAAAAGCACAATTGTTTTTGCACGAAATCAATTTGAAAACACGATAAAACATGATCCTGTCGCCAGGATGAAAGGGGGACAACTCATATCGAGTTATACTTATTATAAAACCCAGGTTGTTTGTTTGTGTGTGTGTTTGTGTGTGTGTGTTCTTTAAATATGGGATCGGATTTCCTATATTTTTCAAACGATTTCAACAAAACTTCTTTTTTTTTGGCAGGTAGTGTTTCTTATTGTCTTGCACACTTTTTTCTTTATTTTTACATTCAGAATGCTTTAAAATTCCATTTACAAGACAATTGTTTATAACAAAATTCTATTCAATCAATAGACTCATAACGATTCAAAACAATGTTTTTTGTTTGAGTTTGACCAATTAAATAAAAAAAAAAAAAAAAAAAAAAAACTAATTAAGACATGTGTGTCCGTCAACCTTAAACAATAATCTTTGTCAATTTTATTTTTCAGTCTTTATGATGCTCGATACTTGATCTATCTCTTACTGTTACATCCCCGGGCAACGCCGGGCTCTACTGCTAGTATATGATAAAACTTGTTTATTGAAATAAAGCCCCCTTTTAGTAATCAATAATTTAACAGCCATGTATCTGCTCTCTCAATGATGGAAAAATTATATTTTTGCTTACATTGATCATTATCTGACAAAAATTTAAAAACAGAGGAATTTTTATCCACATCCATATGCTCCATTGCATTTTCATGAGAATGAGGAGACATCTCATTAATATAATTAGTGTTACTGTTAACTACACTTGTGGTCCTACCAAGGATTGAACTGACCATCCTTGACTAATAAATTTCTGAAAATATTAGATTCCCACTCCTTTGCTTAATGGATGCATTCTAAGCAGTGGCAGTAGCAGGCTTGTCTCCCTTCCTGTCAAAGTGAATTTAATCTTTACACATTATTTAAGTTTACTGAAATTCCTCATCAGTGAATATACTGTCTGGTGAAGTGCTGTCACTCAGTTTATTGAACAAGATTCTGTTTTATCATTTTTACAATTAGCATATTCAAATCTATGTACTTTAAACCAAGTTCCCATCCTTGTAAAATGTGCAATATTTAATATAAATAGACACAAAAATTAATGAATTTTAATGATCCATTTCTTAATAAATATTCCTTGAAGTAAAAATAGCCTAAAAATGAACAAAAGAAAAAAAATTAGACTCCCTTATGTCTAAACACAAATGATTTTTCATTTTATGCAACTCTACACCACAACCATAAACTGGAATTTTTAACAATAACCATTTTCTTTGAATATTGTTCACCTAATACAAATCCCAAGATCCATTCAAGGCAGAGAGTTACTAAAGGTGGTAGTTGTAAGGGTGTACAAGTAGGGAGCAAGTGGTGCATATTATGAAGACATGTAGGTTAGGTAATGGTGGATTCTAGACTTGAACAGATTAAGATTGTTTTCATTGGGGAAGCATCCTCTCAGGAGTCTGTATAACTTTCTAATTGACTTGCATGTTATTCTAGCTTTCATACTATTTGAACCATGGTGGCAGTTCTTGGATGACAGGGACAATACAAAAGAACTAGCATAAATGGACCAGTGAATGAACAATTCTAAATATTAATTCTGAGGATTTGTAAAAGAAACATAAAAAATTCATGAAATGTTAAGCTAAAACAGTTATTACATTTTTAATATCTTCAAATGAAAGCATAAGTTTTCATTAAAAGGTATTTGATAGTGCAAGAACAGACAGTGAACTTTTGGAGTCTAGAGAATAGTAGAGAGAAAAATTCTGTATTGTCATGATTAAATAATAAATGCTAAGTAAACTGATCTCCTTTTCTGGTTTCTAAATGCCATCAAATTTTTTCTATTAAGCTAAAAAAAAAGAAAGAAAGAGAAAGTGGATTAATGAACCAAATTTCTTAAATTGATAAATTTTAATTTACAAAGCACTTTGGTCTTAATTGTAATAAAATTGTAGTCAATTTAGGATTTAAAAATTGCTTGCCATTCTCAGTACTAACAATGTTGAGATTACAGCATGTTTCTTTAAATGTAATGGTTTATTTTGCAATTTTATTTCTAGGTTAAAATCTCATTTTAAATTATATTTTATTTTAAATTGTTTGAAAAGATTCATAATGAGAAAAGCACGTGTGAAATAAAAAAAAAAAAAAAAAATTCAAAATAATGATGAACCATGAAAATTTGTTATTCAAAATTAAAAAAAAAAAATAGTTCATTATATTTTCAAAAACTATTGTAAAATAAACAAATGAGTAATCATGCTTAAATCATTAGAAATTCAAAAAATTTGAAATAGCAAAAATTAAGTTTCTTATAAAATACTATATAACCCAAAATCAACAAACAGCTTAAGTTTTTTTTTTTTCATTATAATCAAGCTACAAGACTTTTACACAGTGACTGTATTATATAATTTTTAAGACACTCAAATTATATGAAAGAGAAAAGTTCATTTTTTTTTTTTTTTTAAATCTAATGACAAAATTTAACAATAACTTGTACAGGTCTGAAACAAGAAAAAAAATCTATAATCTCAATCAATAGCAATGTTTGATTAATAAATAGATTTTTAGACACTAGGTTTAAATTGGATCTACAGACATTGATTCTGTCATATTAATTTACTTGGTTTCATCTGTAAACAGATCTGTAAAATTACATTTCTACAATTGAACTTTTGAATGTTAGCCGATTCCTAGTATTGACCAAACACAGTAGAGAAAAAAAGAGAAAAAAGAGAGAGAGGGGAAAAAGAGAGAGGGGAAAAGAGAGAGGGGGAAAAGAGAGAGGGGGAGAGGGAGGGGAAAGAGAGAGAGGGAAAAAAGAGAGAGAAAAGAGAGAGAAAGAGAGAGAAAAAAAAGAGAAAAAAAAGAAAAAAAGAAAAAAGAGAAAAAAGAAAAGAGAAAAAAAGAAAAAGAGAAAAAAAAGAGAGAAAAAGAGAAAAAAGAAAAAAAGAGAAAAAAAAAAAAAAGAGAAAAGAAAAAAGAGAAAAAAGAAAAAAAAGAAAAAAAAGAAAAAAAAAAAAGAAAAAGAGAAAAAGGAGAGAAAAGGGAGGAAAAAAAAGGAGAGGAAAAAAGGAGAGGAAAAAAGGAGAGGAAAAAAGGAGAGGAAAAAAGGAGAGGAAAAAAGGAGAGGAAAAAAGGAGAGGAAAAAAGGAGAGGAAAAAAGGAGAGGAAAAAAGGAGAGGAAAAAAGGAGAGGAAAAAAGGAGGGAGCAATTGCACTCTGTAGATCTTAGCAAGGAAAATCTGCTTTCAATTATCATGGACTGACACTATAGAATAACAGTTTTGATTAATTGATTTGTTTGTTATGGCTTATCAACCTTTTGTAGGTTATTTAAACCCAGAAAATATTTTTTGGACTGTAAGAAAATGAATATTGTATTAACAGTGCTTTGGAGATCATAATGATTTTCAAATACATGTCCTATTATTTCACTCATAGCTGGGGAGGGGAGTATATTCATACATTTCCCAAGAATATTTGCTTGGAAGTGAATATAATGAACCTGACTGGAATTCAAATTTGGTTCTTTTATTTCTCATTCCAAACAGTTATCCATAATATCACCTACACATCCAAGCTTACAGAACCTGGTATTTACAAGCAGTCACTCATCTAGGTACTGACCAAACTCGACATTGCTTAACTTTAACTGGATAAGAACTGGTGTTTCAATGTGACATGTCCATAAACCTTACCAAGTAACAGAAACCACATCACTTCCAACAACTAAACTGGATAGCACATGTAAGTTGAAGAGAAGATAAATAATGACATCTTTCTTTTCTTTTTATGTTCCATGTCCTTTTAGGTCATAGGCAATCATGGCTCTCCACCTTCTTCTATCCCTTGCAGCTCTCAACAAGTTCCTTCCCTCTGCTTCTACCCCCAGACCATGTTCTGTCATCCAAGATGTTGATAATCCACACTACTTCAAATAAAAGTTTAAGAAGAAAACCTCCATCAGTACAGGAAATAGAAATAATAATTAAATGGACTTGATAAACCTATTTTCCTGAAAAGGTGTTTTAATAGAAAGATTTTATAAATTTCAACCGACACAATAGCACTGGCTGCTCAGTTAATGAATGTTGACAATTTCCTTAATATTACCATTACCAATACCATAAGGTAATAGAAAGTGTTAAATAAGTGTCTCATTTCACAAATAGCCAACCCAGTGATTAGTCATTTAATAAGCATACTGGGGTCAAATTATCAATTTCAAGAGGAAGAGGGTCAAGGAGGAAAGTGATTGGAATAGAAAGAGAGTTAAAGGAAGAGTGAAGGCCTGAGGAATAAGCAGCATATCATAAGATTCTAATACCACTTGTATGAGTCAACAGAATGCATTTAAGGGGCACAATTCAAATTAACTTTAGGGATGCAATAACAGACATTCTAGATATGTGCATGATGTAAGAAATGTGGCAGGAGGAGATGAATAGGAAATGATGAAAGAAATAAGGAGGGTAGTGAATAGTGGGTGGGATGAATGAGAGATCTGCAAGAAGCTGAGAACAAAGCAGAAACAAGAAACAGGATGCATGACAATGTTAAGAGGTAGACAGGAGATTAAACAGCATAAAAAGAAAGTGAGATATACATGAAATGGAGATGAAGAGAAAAACAGGGAAGACAAAAAAAAGCCATGTTAGATAGTCAATAGGCATGAAGGAAGTGAAAGAACAGAAGGGAGAAGTGTATTAGAAAAATAAGAGAGAGGAAAAAAAAAAAAAGAGAAACATGAAAGTTCAGAGCAAGTTTTTTTTGCATGTTTGCCATATGGTCATATTTTTAGAGTAATTAAAATTGAAAACAGATTTTATTTAGGATATGAGATGAACCAACACCTAAGACACTAAATGAAGTGATTAGTGCTTACAGTGAAAAAGTGATTAAAAGAAAGATATAAGGGGGGAAAAAATGAGGAAGACCCTCACTAAGAGAGAAAAAAAGAGAAGGGAAAGTGGAAAAAAAAGTGAGAAAGAAGGGATAATTTTAAAAAAAGTTGAAAAAAAAAAAAAAAAAAAAAGTAAAAAGGAGAGGTAGAGAATGATAAGGAGAGAAAGAAAAAGAGAGACAGAAAGAAAAAGAGACAAAGAGTGAGAGAAAGAGACAGAGTGAGAGAAAGAGACAGAGTGAGAGAAAGAGACAGAGTGAGAGAAAGAGACAGAGTGAGAGAAAGAGACAGAGTGAGAGAAAGAGACAGAGTGAGAGAAAGAGACAGAGTGAGAGAGAGAAAGGGAGACAGAGAGGAGAGAAAGAGACAGAGGAGAGAAAGAGACAGAGGAGAAAAAGACAGAGTGAGAGAAAGAGACAGAGAGAGAAAGAGACAAAGAGAGGAGAGAAAGAGACAAAAGAAAGAGGAGAAAAAAGACAAAGAAAAGAGTGAGAGAAAGAGACAAAGAAAGAGTGAGAGAAAAGAGACAAAGAAAGAGTGAGAGAAAAGAGACAAAGAAAGAGGAGAGAAAGAGACAAAGAAGGGAGAGAAAGAGACAAAGAAAAGAGAGAAAGAGACAAAAAGAAAGAGAGAAAGAGACAAAGAAAAGAAAGAGAAAGAGACAAAGAAAGAGAAAGAGACAAAGAAAGAGAGAAAGAGACAAAGAAGAGGAGAGAAAGAGACAAAGAAAGAGAGAGAGAGAAAGAGACAGAGTGAGAGAAAGAGACAAAGAAAGAGTGAGAGAAAGAGACAAAGAAAGAGTGAGAGAAAGAGACAAAGAAAGAGTGAGAGAAAGAGACAAAGAAAGAGTGAGAGAAAGAGACAAAGAAAGAGTGAGAGAAAGAGACAAAGAAATAGTGGAAATGAAAAAAAATAGAGAGGATGTGAATAGAGGGTTGAAGTGTAAAGTTGAATAGTTGATATCAAAATAGAGAGGTATGATTAACAATAGTGAAAGAATCATTCAAATATGTTAATCTGTTAACTAATAGTTTCAGTAAGACTCATCATTTAGTATAAACTAGCAGTAGAGCCCGGCGTTGCCCGGGGATATAACAGTAATAGATAGATCAAGTATCCACCATCATAAAGACTGAAAAATAAAATTGACAAAGATTATTGTTTAAGGTTGACGGACACGCATGTCTTAATTAGTTTTTTTTTTTTTTTTTTTACGAATTGGTCAAACCCAAACTCAAACAAAACATTGTTTTCAATCGTTATGAGTCTACTGATTGAATAGAATTTTATTATAAACAATTGTCTTGTAAATGGAATTTTTAAAGCATTCTGAATGTAAAAATAAAAAAAAACGTGTGCAAGACAATAAGAAACACTACCTGCAAAAAAAAAAAGTGAAGTTTTTGTTGAAATCGGTTGAAAAATGTAGGTAGCCTTTCTATAATCTTTTAGTTTTACAATTTATGATTTTACTTATTGAATACAGTAATAAAAATTGCATATTTTGCTTGTGGTGATTCATAATTAGAATTCTGATTTGAATATATTTTCCACTCGTTGTTTCTAATACAAAAAATATTAACTTTATTTGGGTTTATTAATTATGATCTAACAAATCTTATTCATTTAGTAGCCTTTCTGTAATAATAATCTTTTACAATATTGGACACCATGTGTATTTAAAGTAGTTTCCCGTTCCAGTTATTATTTTTAGTTAGAACTTGTGTATGTTTAGATTTCATTATCTTTCCCTAAAGATAAAGAATTTATCCGATGTTTGTATTTGTACAATCAGTAGAGATCGTTAGATTATTGTTTAAGGTTGACGGACACGCATGTCTTAATTAGTTTTTTTTTTTTATTTTTTATTTTTTACGAATTGGTCAAACCCAAACAAAAACATTGTTTTCAATCGTTATGACTACTGATTGAATAGAATTTTATTATAAATAATTGTCTTGTAAATGGAATTTTTAAAGCATTCTGAATGTTAAAAATAAAGAAAAAAAGTGTGCAAGAGAATAAGAAACACTACCCAAAAAAAAAAAAAAAAAAAAGTGAAGTTTTGTTTTATCGGCTGAAAAATATAGGAAATCCACTCCCATATTTAAAGTAACCCACACACACACACAAACAACCCGATGTTAGTTGTCCCCCTTCCATTTTCACGATGTCTCTTAATCGTGTTTTCAAAATGATTTTGTGCAAAAACAATTATATTTTTCCCATTTTTGGCGCTGTTAGAACCACCACAAGGTAATTTTATGTAGTCCTGTGAAGTTTTGTTGAAATTGGTTGAAAAATGTAGGAAATCCGATCCAATATATAAACGTACAGACACACACACATACACACAATCTGTGTTTTATAATAAGTAAGATATAGTATTATGTAACTAATTAAGAACATTTGAAAAACAATGAACTCTAATTTGTTTTCTAGTCTTGTTTAACATTTTTTCATATAGTAACTGATTCTAACTGATTAATGCCTGCCCAAAATTTGGTTTAATAGTTTTGTACTTTCAAAAAGACTTTATTGAACAAAATCTTGGATATACATTGTGCATGTATCTTGTTGGCTGTCCTCTCCAATGGTGTAAACATAATAAGCCAATAAAATGTTAAAGCAAACAACTTTCTTTGCTTTCCAATATAATTTATGTCCAATGGCCAAATACATATGAAGAAAAAAAAATATCATAAAACATTTATTGCTAATGAAAAGAAGAAAAAGTGAAATGTAATCGATTTAGAAACTAAATTGGAAAGAAATATGAAACCAGTGGCAGCTGTGCAAAGATCAGTCCTGATTATAATTTTGAAGAAAAATATATATAAATTAATATGAAGTACATACCAGAGACAAAGCAAAATATTGCGAATTTGGGGCTAATTGTTACAAACTAATCCAGATAATGAAAAAACTAATTAAAATTTGGGGAAAAAAAAAAAGAAAGAAAGTTGATCATAACACCATAAAAGCTATTTCATATTAGTGAAATTTGCAGAAACATAATCTATCATTCAAGCAACTCACAATGTTTCTCAACCTTTTTAAGAAACAGCAAAAAAAAAAAAATGAAAATATCAAAGCACACTTAGCAAAATTTTTATAGGGAATTTTAAAAAATGAATATTTATTTAAAATAAATGAACATTTAGTTAAAATAACATAATTGAATAATAGTAAAACGAATTATTTGGAAAAAAAACCCCCAAAACTTTAATACATATTTATTTATTCAAATACTGTACCATTACTATCCCCCCCCTGCATACATATGTATTGGACTCTCTTGTCATATTCGACATATGAGGGTCAAGCATCTAAGTTCCTAAAAACCAACAGCCAGACACCAGCACATATGATCTGATTATAGTGGTGAAGGCTTTGTGCAGAACCAACCACACTTTTTGAAGGGCCAAATACAGAGACCTGGTGCACTACGTCCCACAAGGTCCCAAAACGATCCTCCGCAGGTTTTGAATTCAGAGTTGTCCTTCTCCTAGACCAGTTGCCATCCAAGGCTAGAGAACCCAGTCTGTCCTGCTATTTACACATAGCTGGAGGAAGAAGAAGAGGATTAATACCTTTCCCAAGGTTATTAGCACATAAGTGAATTTAATGGATTCGACTGGAATTCATACTCTGCTTGCCAATCCCTCAAATGGAGCCACTATCCACTATGCCTTATATATATATATATATATATATATATATATATATATATATATATATATATGTGACAATATTTTGCAGCACACTAGTGTGCCATTAAGAATCCGTGCTCTTACAAGATGCTTTGAAGAAATTAATACAATTTCTAACAAATTTACTAAATATATTAATTAGTAACAATTTTATTATTACTTCAATTATTTACATTTGGAATAACATCCTTTATCTTTGTTATTATCACAAAATTTTGATTGCTGTGCCCTCTGACCTTCTTCAAAGAAGCTGCAGTGAAGAGTGACAGCAGCAGCCTCAACAGTAAGCAGGACATTAAGTTTAAGGCTCTATGTTTAGGGTTTAGGATTATCCCAGAGGACAAAAGCCTAGTGGATTAACATGTTGGTTTGTGAATTTGGTGATATAGTAAATGCAAGTTCAATATCCATAGTACAAATTTAGACAGCGTAAACAGGGTGAGCAGTACTAAATAAGAATTAGACAAGGATAGTGGAATGAGAATAACCTACACCCCGTAGATTTAATAAAGGTTTCAGTTTAAAATTCGTTGAAGGTTTCCTGGATCAACACCTGAAAGCTAGAAGACATAACTGCTGAATGGTGTGGCTTTCAACAATTTCATATCCTTTGTAGCACTTAGTATAGTTTGGCTTCTTACTGTATCTACTAATCCCTATTCTGCCACCCATTTACTCTAATTCATTAGGTACTGCTTTCCTCTTTCCTTCAATAGGTCCTGTGAATATCAAATTTCCAAGCCTTCTTTCCTCACTATATGCCCTAGAAATTTCAACTTTCTCTTCCTGATATTAAGAATAAGTGTCTTTTTTTGTTTTCAGATCCTCTAAAACTTTGTCATTGCTCACATGTTCGGATCATGGTATTCTCAACATCCTTTGCTAGAATAATATTTCTGTTTCAGATCTCTTCTTCATCTGTGAGAAGATTGT